CGCTCTCTTCATCCTCCTCCTCAAACGCACTCTGTCGCACTCGGACTTACTCATCAGCACCTTTTCCTCGCCTCGCCCAGACGCGCTCATCACACTGAGATTCACCCATACTCCGGTTTACTTACACTTAAATCCATTAGCTGTTAATTCAAACATACTCAGGCCAAACTCAGACTCACTAGCACCCAGACTAGCTCACACTCATATTCACTCGCACTCAGACTCACTCACCGTTATACTCACTCATACTTAGACCCATTCGTACCCAGGCTCACTCATACTCCAGCTCACATTCGCCATGCTCATACTCAGACTCGCTCACACTAACACTCGCTCACACTCCGACTCACGGGCACTCAGACCCACTCACAATCAGGCTCGTTCATGCTCAGACCCAGTCGTACTCGGACTCACTGTGCTCAGGCTCACTCAGGTTCGGGCATACCCGGATTCACTCACACTCCGACTCGCTCACATTCGGATCTCTCACGCTCAGATTCGTTCACACCAAGGCTCAAACACAGGTGGTTGCCGCGATGTAGCACGGGTGGCAGTCGGGCACCCCAGATGCCAGCAGGCGCCGCGAGCTGCACGCCAGAGTGCGGCGGGCGTAGCAGCGCCATGCGTTTTCGCCCGAGTTGCCGCGGCGAGGGCGGCAGGAGGACTTCTTCCTCGCTTCTCCATGTGCGTTTCCTTCATCTCTCCAGAAAGATGACCTGTGAAGGAGGACGCCACTGAGGTCGTCGTCGTTGTCGTCGTCGTTGTTGCGCCCGCCGTCTACGCGGACTCGCCCTCACGCCCTGATGCTCATAGAAAGAGTTCCACAGCGAGACGTGACAGGAATACGAGATGCACAACATGGGGATCTCCGCGTCGAGTAAGCGTTCAATTGACGGGTTGCTCCTCGATGTGTCTATCAACGTGTTTTGGGGTTATAGAACAGGGAGCCAGGACGAATAATCACCCCTAGGGAAGAGGTCGGGACTTCTGGGGCCGCATATGTTTAGACTCATATCGGTGGACATGACGGGGGGGGAGCGATGGGCACTGACATCCCCGCGTTGTGACAAAAAAGACGGGAGGCTGTCGATAATTTCCTGACTCACGCAGCCCCCATGCCAGGCCCCGGGGCCGTCAGAAAATGGTTCTGGAGGGCAAGCGGGCCTCCGGGAAGGTGTCCAGACATTTGGGGAGTTGCTTTCGGAACAAGTCACGACGCCGCACGTTCGAGGAGGGGTGGTTCGTGGAGCCACCGCAGCCACCCTGCCAGTCAAGAGCCAGCCAAGCTAAAGACAGCAGCTGGAGCCTCCGCTGCCCGCGCAGGATGACAGATGCCGCCTCCAACAGTGGCTCCACCTCCAAAGCCGCCTCGTCTAGTTTTCATGTCCAAAGGCATCATGCGTGTGGTCTGCAGCGCAGGAAGGTGGGCGGCCAGGAAACAGCCGCCACGACTCGCGGCCCCCGTCGTCAGTGATGCACCCCACTCCCCGCGCATTCTCCAAGGAGGCTCGTCCCGCTCGTTTCTCGAGGAGGCGTACTCCCCGGTTCCTTGTCTCTTGCCGCTGGCTCGCGTACACGGTGCCACAAAGCAGGCGCCGAGCGTGCTTTTGGCTCACCCTTGGCTCGCCTTGTGGCTTTCTCCAGCGTGTCGTCCGCTTGCCGCGTTGCGTGCTGATTTTCGCTTGCAGATCTCAGTTGCGTTCGTCATGGGGGCCTGTAGGTTTGGTATGCCTGCGTGCGCTGCGTATTCTTAGACCTTATCTGATCATCGTTGGGCCATCTTGGCTCATCTTGGCTCATGTGCGACTCGGCTACACCAGCTTGCCCTGTTAGCAGGAGCTGGGTCCGATCCGCCCTCCAGTAGGCTCAGGTGTAGTAGGTTATAGTAGGTTAGCCCAGCTACGACGCCAGCTCCGCGGCGTCAGAAGGCGAGAGAGCGCGCTGGCCAGACCGGGCTTTGAGAGCGTAGGACGTGCCGATTGCCCCTTCTCCACGCAGCGTGAGCCCAAGGTAAAGTTTGAACACGTTGGACGTGCGTGTAGCTCCGCCTCCTCGCAACTCAAACCAGAGAAGTGTGAGGGTAGCTCCGCCGCTGCCGTACCCAAGAACGGGCTCGAGTGCGAGACCGAGCCGAACACCATTGTTCGGAAGGTCGAGATCGACCTTGACGACCTCTAGACACAATAGAACAGCTAGCAGCAAATCTAGCTCACAGCATAGACGCAACAGCAAATGCAACATATGCAGCAGCAGTTCATTGACATGCAGACCCGGCTGGCGACTGCAACTACGACAGTTTCCGACATGCAGGCCCAGCTGAGAGGCCTTTTGAACCTTCAGACGGCATTTGATGTCGACGCTTGACACAATGTGCCTGGTTTGGTTGGGTTTCGGCGCAGTTTCGCGTGAGACGTCCTCGCAACTTGCCTGGTTTAGCTTGGTTTCGGCGTGGTTTCGCTTGAGACGCCCTCACGGTTTCCCTTGTTAGGTTTGGTTTAGGCGCAGCTTTGTTGGAGACATCTCTACGACTTACCTGGTCTGGCCGCAGTTTCGCTTGACACATTGACGCAACTTGTTAGACTAAGTCATGATCCGGGCCACCACACCCAAACGCCAGCAACAGCCGAGTCCGACCGCAGCGACGAGGAGCCCTGACCAGGGCGAAACCGAGAGACCCTGGACCGCGGCCGCGAAGGCCACTGACCGCAGCGCCGCTCAGCAGAGCACGGGTGCAAGCTATGCGGTGTAAGTCATGTGACTGTTATGTGGTGCAAGCTGCGTGGGTGTGGTGGAAGCGGTGAGGCGAAAACTGTGCGGTGCAAGCTATGTGGTACAAAGTGTGCGGTGGAAGACGTGTGGTGAAAGCTGCTGTGGACAAGCCCACATCGCCTTGCCGTCGCTATCAAGTGGGCGGGTGCAAGCCGGCGTTGGCCCGTGGACTGGCGCGAGGAGAAAATGACCCCGAGATTGTAGACGCATATGTGCATATATGTGCATGGTTATGCGTGCGCGGCTGAAGCACGCATGTCTAATAGTTTATGTGTTTACGCCTATATGGTGTTGTGTTTTTCAGTAAGACATGCGCGTGCGAATGTATCTACACCCGCCTGCATATGTGCACGTATACACGCGTTACACTGTCTCTACACACGTGCTCGATGAACGCGCGTGCTTCCGAGTTGAGAGAAGTTGCCGATGCGTTCTGCCCGTCCAGTCAGCAAGGCTGGACTGGTTACCCCCTCCCCCCGAGGTTGCGCTACATCCGGTGCAGGAGAGAACATCGGCGACACCTAGGTCGGATCCGTTCGAAGGCGTGAGGGTCTAAGGTTGAGGAGGGCAGTTGATTGAAGAAGGTGCCAAAGAGGGTTGCGAGGTGGGGTAAAGAGTGAGGTAGGGCGTGGTGGCAGGGGCAGGGAGGGGCTAGGGGTGGGAGTGGGCGAAGGAGTGACGCAAATTCCGACCCTCCCTCTCACAGCATAAGAAGCAATTGTGGCACAACTTGATGCTGGGATTGGAGCGCGTGTCCACCTAGCAAAGGGAAGGCGCTCGCACGCGGCCCCGCTTCGGACGACCTGGCGACGGGGAACCTACGCGGGCCGCGCAGGGGCTGGAACGGCAACTTCCGGCGAAGACGAAGCATGCGCCGCGCTGACACAGCACTCCTGCCACTTTTGCTCGCAAGCTGCGCGGCGTCTCGGCGAGGGTGGTACTCCCCCCCGCTCTCGCGCGGCCCCGCTGCCGCTGCCGCTTTCCTGCGATTTCGGCGAACGAGCCACGTGCCGCGCCCGCGCGGCAACGCCACTTCCAGACGGAACGCGCACGTGGAGCGTGGACGAGGGCGACGCTGGCTCGCGCGCGCCCCCCCAACAGAAAGATTGGCGAGCGAAGCAAAAAAAAGAGCTGCGGTGGGGCGGGAGCGCCACTCTCGGGCGGAAAATCTGCGCGGCGCCCCGGGGCGGGAGCGGCATCCTCGCCCTCTCTCGCGTATCGACGAGCTCGTGTGCGATAAACTTGCGCCGCGCAGAGGCGGAAGCCTTAAGTCGGGCGTGTCCCCCTACAGGGGGATTTTCGACGACAAATAAAAAAAGACACCAAAAATACCCCCAAAAGGTCAACAAATATTCAAGACATAGTCCCCAGACTATTTTTGGATTATTTTTTGGTTTATTTTTGGGCATTTTTTCCCCAATCAGAGCTTGCCTCTGTAGGGGTCCTAGCGGATATAAAGCTGAGGTGAGGTGGGCGGCCGATTTCGGTGGCCGGGGCCGGGTGCCCGGGTGCCCGGGGGTTCCCGGGGGTGCCTAGGTGCCCAGGCGTGTGGCCGATTTCGGTGGCCGGGGCGGGTGCCCGGGTGCCCGGGGGTGCCTGGGGGTGCCCGGGTGCCCAGGGGTGCCCGGGGTGCCCAGAAGTGCCCGCGGGTGCCTGCCCAATAGCCCTATATCCCTATAGCCCAATAGCCCAATCGCCATATATCCCTATAGCACTATAACCCTATAGCCCTATAGCCGTACCTATACGACCACCCTTCGGATGATAAGGAGGCTCGGGGGGGGGAACCAACGTCTCACTCGATCGGTCTCACTATCGATCTCAGTATCGATCTCACTATCGGTCTCGCTCGATCGATCTCACTCGATCGATCTCACAATCGATCTCACTCGATCTATCTCATTCGATCGATATCACAATTGATCTCACAATCGATCTCACAGTCGATCACACAATCGATCTCACATTCGGTCTCAATATCGATATCACGATCGCTCTCACAATCAACGTCATCATCATCATCATCAACATCATCAACATCAACATCATCACTAACATCGTCATCATCATGAGGGCACCGTCATCATCATCATAAACATCATCATCAACGTCAGCATCATCATCGGGACAGCATCATCATCATCATCATCATCATAATCACCATCATCATCTCATCATCAACATCATCATCATCATCATCGGGACACAGTCATCGTCATCATCAGCAGCAGCATCAGAATCATCATCATGATCGGGACACCATCATGATCACCATCGTTCTCATCATCAACATTATCATCAACATCGTCATCATCCTCGGGACACCATCATCATCATGATCATCGCATCATCATCATCGACATCATCATCAACAACATCATCATCATTGGGGCACCATCATCATCATGAGCAACATCATCATCAACATCGTCATTCTCATTATTATCATCATCGGGACACCATCAGCATCACCATCATCATCATCACCATCATCATCAACAACATCATCATCGGGACACCATAATCATCATCAACATCATCATCAACATCATTGTCGCCGGGACACCATTTCCATCAACATCATGATCACCAACATCATCGGAATCATCGTCATCATCATCATCAACATCATCATCGGGACACCATCATCGTCATCATCAACATAATCATCATGAGCATCATCATCCTCATCATCGGGACACTATCATCATCATTGACACCATCATCAACATCATCATCTTCATCGGGACAAGATCATCATCATTTCATCATCATTCATCATCATCATCATCATCATCATCATCATCATCATCATCATCATCATCATCATCATCATCTCATCATCATCATCCTCGCGGGACACCGCGGGACACCGGCGGGACACCGCGGGACACCGCGGGACACCGCGGGACACCGCGGGACACCGGCGGGACACCGCGGGGCCCCGCGCCCTGGATGAGAAACATTTGGTCCGGCCGCGCCTCAGCCACAGGAGGACACCGCGGGACACCGGCGGGACACCGCGGGGCCCCGCGCCCCGGAAGAGAAACATTTGGTCCGGCCGCGCCTCAGCCGCAGGAGACTTTTTCTCGCCCGCCCACGCAGCTTCGCCTCGCACGCACGGCAGGCACGAACACGAAACCGAAACCGATTTTCCGGTGGGGGGCTCGCCTTTCCACTTCGATCTCACCCCCTCACCTCCGATAGCCCTATAGCCCAATAGCCCAATAGCCCAATAGCCCCATAGACCCATAGCCCCATAGCCCTATAGCCCTGTAGCCCTATAGCCCTATAGCCCTATAGCCCAGCTCTATAGCCCTATGGTTCTAAAGCCCTATAGCCGTATATAGCCCTATAGCCCGAATAGCCTTATAGCCCTTAGCCCTATAGCCCTATAGCCCTATAGCCCTGTAGCCCTATAGCCACATCGCCCTATAGCCCTATAGCCCCATAGCCCTAAAGCCCTAAAGCCCCATAGCCCCCCCCCAAGTTCTGATTTGGGTTTTTCTCTGGTATCATTTATTTTTCGTCGAAAATCCTCCTGTAGGTGGACAGGCCCGACTTAACGGAAGCCCAATTGTTGGAACAGGAGCGCGGCGCCGAGGCGCGGGCGACCTTTCGGCCTGTCGCTTGGGAGGCGCGTGCCGCCACATTCCGACCGCACACTGTGCAGCATGGACGGTATGACGTCCAGGCTGACAGCGGAATTGACGACTTTGCAGTCGTGCTGAAACGGGTGGGATGGGAGGTCTCGGATACAGCGGCAACCGTGTGGCCAGATGGCGGAGCAGGTGTATACACTCATAAGGAACAAGGAGAAGTCGGGACTGGTAAACGGAAGTGACGGGATGGGAGTATACTTGACTAGGACAAGTGTAGGGGTACTTTTGGATCTGGGGATCGCGACAAGTAATCAGATTCGGCGGTTTCTTTCCGCGTCGGGCCACAATATTTTCACGGATCAGTCCAGCTTGAAAAGGCACATACAGGTGGGGTCGGCAGTTTTGGTTGTGATGTTTTGCGATGTTGTGTTCCCCTGGCATCAAAATTGTTAGTGAAAGCTGGACTACCTAATTTTTATCACGATGTCACAAAGCGTTCGTGTACGCCACAACGCACATCCACTTTCATTTACTTCCTGCCCACCTCATGAGCGCGTCCCCCCCCGTACACATCGACCTTCCCGAACTGGTCATTGCCAAGCGAAGGTTCAAGGTTGTCCGCCCCAGCTGGTGCCGCAAAAAGGAAAACTGAGTCACTTCAGAAATCTCCAGCCGAGGCGCCCAGTCAGTCTGACGGCGCTGTGGCCGCGTGGAACGTCGAACAGTGTAACAACCAGTGACTATCATGCGAGAAAGGGGACTGACCCCTGCGTTCCTTCCAGTGCGCCCCCGGTGTCGCAAGAACGCACTTGTGCACCACAGCCACGTAGATTGCCTTAACCTGGCGGTCTCAAGCGTGGTGTGATGTTCATAGGCATGCCGTGGATCTCGCATGCTATAGGGGCGTTTGCAAACATAACGTAGTGGTCGCTGGCATGTTGTGATGTTTACGCGCTTTCGTGGTGCGTGGTGCTCGCAGGCACACTGGTGCACTCAGGCATATCGTAATGTTCGCAGACATGATCGCACGCACGCTGCGGTGCTCACAGAGATCTTGTGGCATTCGCAGGCGGTTGTTTCGTCCTGATGTATATTGTTGTGTACGTAGGCTTAGATATCCAGCCTGAGCAAGCTGGTGCTTCCAGAACCTCCTTGGGAAAATTGCCAACATCTGTGAGGCTGCATTTTGCCAGCTGGTGCGTTCTCTCCCTGATTCTTAGTGCCTCCCCACAATAAATTTACAGTGGCCTCCAATTGGCGAGTCCTTGCTGGAAGCCTCCTTGCAGGACTGCGAGCAGGAGCTGCATTGCGACTCGCGCTTGGGCGATTTCGTCCGATACGCTCTCTGGCCAGGGACGCTGGTCGAGAGGTCCTGCAGCGCTGCAAATTTCACCAGATCTCCGATGGGCGAGTCCTTGCTGAAAATCCTCTTGCATGACACCGGCAAGGAGAAGCATTTTAGCAAGCTCGCAATTCTGGACTTCAGAAATCCTCATACCACGCAAGGGCATGACCAGATTGGCAGAGAAGGGTCTGGCTCCAAGAGGGCGTCAAGACGGCCCAGCATGGCCCCATGACGGCCGACGATGCCCCCAAAACGGCCCAAGAAACCCCCCAAACCGCCCCTAACAGGGATCCACAAGGAGGACATCGAGCGGGCTTCGAGAGCCGCGCGCCCAAGACGGACCCTACGATGTTCGAGCTCGCCCCTGGACGGCCCAAAAGAGCCCCAAGAGGGCCCAAGAAGAGGGCCCCAAGTCGGCCCCCAAAGCGGCTCAAGATGTCCTAAGAGGGCACTCGAAGGAGCACAGCACGGCCCAAGATATTCAAGAGAACCTCAAGAGGCTCAAGCTCTACGAGGGTCCCGGCGGTAACCTGGTTGAGCGGAGATTGCCTCCCGCTCAGCCTGGCCTCACCGCTGGGGCCCCCCTCGTCTCGAGCAGCATTGTGCTGAGAGCTGTTTGGTTTCCCATGCGGTACTCCCTTGCACACTGTGATTTCGCTGATTGTACATACTGGTGTTGGGGCCCCCCGTTGGTTTCGATGGTGTGGCCTCATGATGCGTTGTACTCTGCCCAGTTTTGGCAATTTTATGATTGCCCAGGTGAGCCCTCGACATCGTGGAAGCGAAAAATGAGACGTCTGAGACTTGCGGCGCACCGTCAAGCTGCGATTGACTTCTCTCACTTGGACCGCCCTGCGCCGGTCATTGTTCTAAGCACTAAACATAATGCGGCCTGTCCACAGGAGGGTTCGCACGATATTGCTTCTGTTCGTTCTTCTTCTATGGCCGACGATATTTCGCAGGATATTGCTGTGCGCGACGACGCTGAGGAGGTGGTTAAGGAGACTGTTGTCCATGATCGTTCGCATGATAGTTCTCAGGATAGAAGCGTTAAGGAGACTGCTTCACAGGAATTTCCTTCGCTTGATCTCTGCGGTGAGTTACTGGCATGTGATAGCAGGTCGGGGCAGGATGCTGTCCTTGAGGGGCCCCTGAGGCAGACCCTAAAGGCCCAGGATGTTGATCATGAGGCTTCTGGTTATCAGAGGCCCCGTGTACTCGCTTCACGTTTGCTATCTTCCCAGACGTGTGCTGACCAGAGCTCTTCATCTAGGCGTGTCCTGTTTGATGATCGGTCTTCAGTGGTTTGGTATGAGATACCCCTTCAAGCGAGCCTGAGACCCATATCGAGGCGGAGACCCATGGAGGGTTCGCAGGTTATTGCTCCTGTTCGTTCTCCTTTCGCGGCCGCGGATACTGCTCCACGTGATGTGACTCCGTGTGATATTTCGCCTGAGGTAGCATTGCACAATGACGTTGAGGAGACCGTGTTGCATGATTTTGTTTTCTTGTGATGTTTGTGTTCGTTGTTTTTTGTGGCCGCTGGTACTTCGCACGATTTTGCTTCGCGTGATGTTTTGTCGCATGACAGTTTGTCTGACTTCTCTTTGCGCGAGGACGTTGACGAGACCGTGTTGCATGATATTGTTTCGCTTGGTGCTGCTGGTGGTTCATCGAGTTCAGCAGGTCTTCTCTCAGAGTGGGAGGAGATGTGGATGCATCAGACGGAGGCGGTCTTAGCAGCGGTGATGCGGTGGAGGTCCAAGATAGAGGATGCTGTGAGTGCAGAAGGCTCTCACGACGGTCGAGAACATGATAATAGAGGTTCAGAATCGGCAGGTTGCTCAGGATACCGTCTAATTCATGCAAGTCTGTCATTATCCAGGTAAACGTTCATGATGACAGCGAGACATTCGATTCAAAGTTCAATGGCATGAGACGTAGAGCTGGTGTTGTGGGCCCCCATGCTGTGGAGATGGGGTGGTCTCATGCTGTGTTGTACTCTACCAAAGTCACGCAAGTTTTCGATGATGACAAGGAGGTCGTTTCAATCATTATGATTTGTTACTTGGTGCCTCAAAGTAGGTCACTCGTAGCTCTGATCGACAGTGCAGCTGCCTCAAAGCAGGTCGCTTGGATGTGATCTCATATGCTTTGTATATACATGTTCCTCAGGAAGGTCGCTTGTACTTGAAGGTCGTTTTCCTGGCTCATTGAAGCCTGCTCGCTGCCCGATGAGGGCCTGGTTCGCGAGAACCTCAAGACGGCCCAAGATGGTCCCAAAATGGCCCCAGCACGGCACTAAGAGGGCTCCAAGATAGCCCAAGAGCCCCCCAAAACGGTCCGAAGGTTTCCAAGATGGCTCAGACTGCTCCTAAGACGGCTCCAAAACGGACGCCGAAGGCCACCAATACCGCATTTCCAGCAGGCGTCCAAGAGGCTTCAGGACGGCCCATAGACGGCTGGAGGTGGTGCGGAAAGCCAGAGTCATCGAATTGGAGGCATTGCCGATGCGACGTGGATGGATTTTTTGTTGACTTCGATGCGTGGCCTGGAAGGGAGGGGTTGGCTTTCGATACTCCGTGGCGTGGCCCTGCTGTGCACTTTGGAACCAGATTTGGGTCCAGTTCTTCGTTGCTAAGCTCCTCCTCCGGTCCTCGGGTGGATCCACTGAAGCGCAAGAAGCGGCGAAAATGCCCCAGAACTCCCCGTCGCGTCGCTGGGATCCCAAACGTTGATTGCCGCATGTTCCTCGACCACCCCCGAAGGATCTCCAGAGTCGCCCCTGCACTCCTCATTTGCAATTTGCGATGCGAGTTCCTTGGGTGTGGCTAGGACCTGAGCGCGCGCGAAGCGCGCGTGGTTTCCGGTATGCATATGTGCGTATGTATGTAGGCATGCATGCGTGCACGTATGTATGTATATGTATGTATGTATGTACATGCGCTTGTATGTATGTGTATGTATGTCTGTCTGTCTGTATGTATGTACGTATGCATGTATGTATGTGTGTATGTATGTATGTGTGTATGTATGTATGCACGTATGTATGTATGTGTGCGATTATGAATGTATGTATGCATGCATTTATGTATGTATAGTTGCATGGATGTGTGCATGTACGTGTGTGAGTACGCATGTATGCATGCATGCATGCATGCGTATATATATATATATGGGTGCATGTACGTGTGTAAACATATATGTATACATGCATGTGTGCGTGCATGCATGCGTGCATGCATGCATGTGGGTATGTATATATGTATGTGTATGTATATGTATGCATGTATGTATGTATGTATGTATGTATGCATGCATGCATGTATGTATGTATGTATGTATACATGTATACATGTATGTGTGTATGTATGCAGGCATGTACGTATATGTATGAATGTATGTATGCATGTACGTGTGTATGCATGTATATATGTACGCATGCTTGCCAGGTTATCATATTTGAATATGTTTTCGTTCACCAGATCGGATGAGATTGTCTCCCTCGCCAGATTGCCAAATTGGTACCAGATTCGACCCGCCGTATTGTCGCCAGACTACCTTCGACTATCCAGTTGTATTCCGGCGGCCCAGATCTACTCAGGTGCCCAAAGTTCCCCTCGACGCCGACGCGATAACCATGCCAGGGGACAGGCTCATCTCATGGATCTGAATCGACGACCCAAAAGATTCGGTGCACTGGTCACCGAGATGGACCCGCGAGCAAGAGCAAGCCACGGCCCCCTGGCTGGCAGACGGGGGCAACCGGCAGCAGCGGAGGGCGACTGTCCGGACAGCTGAACTCACGGCCGCGCATCCCGCTTGTCGCAACTGCCTCGGGGAGTTTTGGCTGGCGGCCGCGGCTCGAGGCTCGGGCGGCTGCTGCAGGCAGCGCCAGCAGGCGACGGCGCTGGGAGACCGGGCCAAGCCGCGGCGGCGGGACAGGAAATCCCGGACAGCGAGCGTCTGAACCTCGTCGTCTAGCTCCCGTTGTTCTTCCTCTTCCTCCGAGCCACCGCACGGTCAAGCAGGGTCATGGTGGCCGAAGGAGGTCGAGCATCCATTATTCACCGTCCTTATCCTCTTACCGAGCATGTGGGCCGTGACCATCACTGCAAGGGAGACGCGCTCGGCCGAAGCCACGCGCGGAGTGCCCGCTGGTGAGCCGTGGCACCATGCAGCGACGTGGACTTCGCGCTCACAGAGCGACGTCGGCTATTCCTCCAGTGCGCCCGACAGGTGCACCTGGACTTCCTCACTTTCGTGGCGCAGCGCAGCTTCCGCGCGAAGGGGCCCAACGCCCCGAGGGGGGACGCCGCCGACGACGCCAGATGGTACCTGCAGAGCCCCAAGCATTACGCGACGGATCCCAATGCCCGGCGAGGAGACACCGACGGCATCGGCGGCACCAGCAGAGTTTCGAGCACCAAACGGGGGATCCGAACGCCCCAACAGGGGACACCGACGACACCAGCGGGCACCAGCAGAGCTTTGAGCACCACGAGAGATAGCCCAACACTCCGAAAGGGGGCACCAACGACACCAGTGGGCACCAGCAGAGCATTGGGCACCACGCGAGGGAACCCAACGCCCCGAAAGGGGAAACCGGCGACAGCGACGGCCACCAGCAGAGCTTGGAGTACGACCCGTTCGGCAGCTACACGGATGGAGAAGTGCCTGGGTTCGCGGCGCCTATTATTGATGTCGTGTACGACCTAGTGACGGCGAGGTCGGAGGAGGGTTCCACGGTCTCACAGGAGAGCATCGTGTGGACGCTGGAGGAGTGGGTCGACCAGTCGTTCGAGGAGTGGACAGTACTTGGGGTGTCCAACCTGGGGGACAGCCGCGCGCGTGGTGAGCATGATCACGCCGAAGAGTACAGCCCAGGGGACCACGGTCAGCGATGATGAAGAGCAGTGCGAGACAGAACGCAACGAAGAGACGGGCACTGACGCAGAAGCGAGCTAGCCAGAGACTGCACCATCCCAATCTGCACGGGTGCCGCCTGGAACCCCCAGCCTGCTGCGTGCGGGCCGACGGGGTGCTGGTGGGGCCTGTAACCTTTTCTTGAGGGGCCGCGAATGCTCTTTAGAATTAAAGGTGCTTAATTCGGCCGCCAGGTTGATGACCCGTGTAGGTGTGTATGTATGTATGTCTGTATGCATGTATGTATGTATGTATGTATGAATGTATGTATGCATGTATGTATGTAGGTATAGACATGTATGTATGTAGGTATGTATGCATGCATGCATGTACGTATGTATGTGTGTATGCATGCATGGATGTACGTATGTATGTATGTATGCATGCATGCATGTATGTGTGTATGTGTGTATGGATGTATGGATGTATGTATGTATGCATGTATGCATGTATGTATGTATGTATGTGTGTATGTTTGTATGTGTGTATATGTGTATGTATGCATGTATGTGTGTGTGTATGTATGTATGTATGTATGTATGTATGTATGTATGTATGCATGTATGTATGTATGTATGTGTGTATGTATGTATGTATGTGTGTGTATGTATGCATGCATGTATGTATGTATGTATGTATGTATGCGTATGGGTGTATGTGTGTACGTATGTATGGTATGTATGTATGTATGTATGTATGTATGTATGTATGTATGTATGTTTGGTTGTTTGGTTGTTTGTATGTATGTATGTTTGTGTGCGTGTATGTACCTTTGTACGTATGTACGTATGTACGTACGTATGCATGCACGCATGCATGTACCCATGCATATATATATATATATATATATATATATATATATATATATATATATATGTATACACACAACGTGTCGCAGCTGTGTGCTTTCCTGTACCCGTGTAGTGGCATGTTAGATTGTTGAGCCCAAGATAGGGTTGAATCGAGTATTCATCCTTCTCCTCGGTCTCCTCCAAACTCTTTCCTAACTTCCTCCTTCCTCCCTCCCTCCCTTGCCGCATCGTCTGCCTGGCTGCCCACGGCCGCCTTCGTCGCCCGTGGGGAGGCGCTTCGGAGGAACTGAGGGACAAGCTGAACAAGTGGAGGGAACGCGCGCACGGCCCGATCCTCCGGCTTGCCGACGAGGCGCCCCGGTGTGTGTGTGTGTGTAGTCGGGCGCGCGAGGTCTTTTTTCCGGCTTTGTGTGCCCTGTCGCTGCGTGCGCAAAAAGTTTGTGCGTGTGTGTGTGTGTGCTTGTGTGTGTGTGTGCTTGTGTGTGTGCGTGTGTGTGTGTGTGTGTGTGCGTGTGCGTGCGTGCGTGCGTGCGTGCGTGCGCGCGTGCGTGCGTGCGTGCGTGCGCGCGTGTGCGCGTGTGCGCGCGTGTGTGTGTGTGTGTGTTTGTTTGTGTGTGGGTGTGCATGGCAGTTTCGCGTCGTGTCGACCGGCGGCGACCCCGCCGCCAGCGTTCAACGTTGAGCGCCGCTGGCGACCCAGAATCGGTCGATTTTGAAGGGCTTGACGTTTCGGAAACGGCCGATCGTTCAAGGTTGACCGACCCCCGCGTTTCAGGATCCAATGCCAGGGACGAGACGTCGCGAACTTGCCGTGCGTGTGTGTGTGTGTATGTGTGTGTGTGTGCTTGTGTGGCCTGGTCTTCGTGAATCCTCCGCGCTTTCGTCCCTCCTTCCCCTCCTCCGCCTCCTCCTCGTCAGGGGAAGGGGGGGGAGGAGGTGGAAGAGAAGTAGGAGGAGGATGAGGAGGAAGAGGAGGAGGAGGAGGCGGAGGACGAGGAGGAGGAGGAGGAGGACGAGCGAGAGGGAGCAACTAGGAGGAGCAGCGAGGAGGATGAGGCGGATTATTATGATGGTGTTGGAGATGGGGTTACTGGCTGGTGGTGATGGCGATAACTAGAGCGCGTTTCTTTCTTGCTTGGGGCATGACGGGGGTCATGACCCCCGTCCCCCCCCCTATGACGTAACGCTCCCGCCCCGAGTGCGTTCCGGGCCATGCCGCCGTGCGCATCGTGATCCGCATAGGTCTCTGCGTAGGAATCCGCATAAGAGTCTGGTCCGCAGTCGTCGTCGTCGCCGTCGCCGTCGCCGTCGTCGTCGTCGTCGTCGTCGTCGTCGTCGTCGTCGTCGTCGTTGTCGCGAATCGCTCGTCGCTCGTCGCTCATCGTCGTCGTGCGCGCGGACGCAGCTGGAACCTGTTTTGTCATTCCGGGCCGATGACGGCAATCATTTGGGGGTGGGAGGGGGCCGATGACGTCACGTTTCGCGCCGGCGGCGTCTGGGAATGCATAGGAATGACCGAGGACTGGTAACAGCATCATGTCGGTGG